CAATTCTCCTCCCAACCCCCCAATGTCAGATCTGCTTTATAACAGTGGCGCTATGTAGTATTTGTTCTTTTGTGACCAAGATATTTCACTCAGCATAATGTCCTTCAGGGTCACCCATGTTGCGTAATGTTTTACGAGTTCCTTGGTTTTCAGTGCAGCATAATATTCCATTGTGTGAATAGACCATAGTTCTTCTCTCCATTCATTTGTTGATGGGCACTTGGGTTGCATCTATCTCTTTGCTATTGTAATTAACGCAGCAATAAACATGAGTACACATATATTTGTTGGGGTGGCAGTTCTGGTTTCTTTAGGGTGTATTCCCAGTAGTGGAATTACTGGGTCAAATGGTATTTCTATTTCGAACTTTTTGTGAACACGCCAAACTGCCTCCCGTAGTGATTGTACCTTTTTACACTCCCACCAGCAGTGAATAAGTGTTCTAGTCTCTCCACAACCTCACCAGCACTTACTGTTTGCTGCTCTGTTGAACTTTGCTATTTTTGCTCATACTGCACTGTTTATAGCCACCATTGCTGGTTCCCTAACTGGGATTACAATAGAGTCCCCCAAAGAGAATGGGGGCGGGGGGGGGAATGAAGAACAAAATAATATCACATTCCAAAAACAGACCCAACTTATTGATCTGGCAGAGAGCGGAGGAACCCTGGGACTATGTGTCTAAGAGACCTTTTTGACCCAGAAATAAAGTCATCCCCAGAGACTGCCTTTCAGCCAAGCATTGGTCGGGCCCATAAAATAAATAATAACACCCAAGAGGAACATGTTCCTTAGAAGAATCAATTCTATGAGGTAAAAACGGCAACTTGACCTGAAACAAAGAAGGGGTAAAAAAAAATCCAGAAGAGACATCCAGGACAGGGATGGGGAGAGTGCCTAGATGAACAGCTGATGAGGATGGCCCAGGATGGGGCCGAGTTTCATTCTTTTGTCTGTTGAGTTGCTGTGAGTTGGAGTCAACTTGTCAGCACCTCACAACAGCAACAAGAGGTCACCACGCAATTCCTCCCAAGCTCCTTTGGGGGAACTCAAGATGCCAGGCCGCCTTTCTGTTAGCAGTGGAACATCTTAACCATTTCCACTACCCAGACACTCCTGTTTCAGTAACAGCCTCCAAATGTCAGTGGCTTACACCAGTATCTAACTAGTTCACACTGTTGTGTATTGACTTGGGTGGGGGAGTGTTAAGTCTAGCGTGCAGGCTGAAGGAGCAAGGGACCACATGGTCACTCTCTGAGCTCAGCTAAGATGTGGATTTCCCATGTTCTCCTCTCTGGTCAACGTAGCAGACAGGCAGTCAAGGTGAAAGGGCAAGGATCGTCCTTTGCCTCTGTGAGGCTCTTCGTGTCCCATGACGATGGGTGACGCTGGGAATCCCCTTACCGAGAAGCATCAACAGCCTCTCCCCTTAGCCAAGCTTGCTGCTGAAGCAAACGAGCACCAAACGAGCCGTGGTCCGTTGCTCCCGTGTGTGTCCCTATAGAACTGTGCTCCATGGGGTCTTCAGTGAATTTATTTTGGAAAGTATATCACCAGTCCTTTCCTCGTCATGTCTCTGTGTGGATTTGAACCTCCAACATTTTGGTTAGCAGCTGAGCACATCGACTAGAAATTACTGAGAGTTTCTGCATAACCCTTCACTTAAAACACTGTTAAATATTAAAACAACTATGAGATAGCATCTCACCCCAGTAAGAATAGCAAAATTTAACAGAACAGCAAGCATCAAATGCTGGTGAGGTTGTGGAGAAACTGGAACCCTTATTCACTGTTGGTGGGAGTATAAAATGCAATGGCGTAACCACTGTGGAAGGTGGTATGGTGCTTTCTCAAAAAGTTGAAAGAATTACCATTTGGGACTATACCCTAAAGAAACCATAACTGCCACCCAAGCAGATATATGCACACCCATGTTTATTGTGGCTTTGTTTGCCATAGCAAAGAGCTATTGGAAACAACCCAAACACCCATCAACAAGCAAATGGATAGAGAAGCTCTGGTATATCCACAAAATGGAATAATATGCAGCACTGAAAAGCAAGGAACTCATGAAATATTATACAAAATAGGTGACCCTGGAGGACATTATGCTGAGTGAAATATCTCGGTCACAAAAGGACAAATATTGCATAGGGCCATTGTTGTAGAACAGGACTGACATCTGGGTTGAGGGAAGGCAGAGAAGGAGGGGAGGAATGATGCATTGAAAGAGATGAGGGAGAGAACTGTTTAAAAGAGATATATGATTGGGTATTATTGTCATGGCAGGAGCCCAGAATGAAGGCTGCACAGTGGAGTGGACTTGGTGGGAGGGATTGCATAACAATGAAAGAGTTTTTCTTTTACTTTTCAAGGAGAAGAGTGAATTGGGGTGAGGGGAAAGGCAGGGAGAAAAGGGCAACAGTGAATTACTGGAAACCCCAAGTCTCTATAAACTTTCATTAAAATTAATTAAATAAAAAACCCCAAACACCATTAAATAGTATTAAAAAGAAAAGCTGCAGTGAATTCTTGGGAAATTTTAGATAGAGGCGAGCAGGAAGTATGTTCTTGAAAGCAAATGACCTCTACACATTATTTCTCTTTTAATATACTCTAGATGCCCATTCAGGAAAAAGAAGCTTCAAGGAAAGAAGTCATTCTTCTGGCGAAGATGAAACATCCTAACATTGTAGCCTTCTTCAGTTCATTTCAAGGTTTGACTCCCTAATATTCTTAAGACATTTTCAGAAAGTATAGACAAGTTGATGATATAAAAGACAATGTTCCTGAGTACTTTGAAGCAATGAAATGTTGTAAACCAGAATATTTTTCTAAGTTACTTAAATGTGGAGATGTCCATCCACAGCCCCCAGTGGTCAATATCCCTGCTAGTTACAGGGAGCTCTGGTGGCTTAGGGGTAAAGAATGATGCTGCCAACCCAAAGGTATGTGGTTTGAATCCACCAACTGCTCCCCAGGTAAAAGATACACAATCTCCTGCATGATTTACTGCCTCTGAAAACCAGCTAGAGGGCCAGCTATGAATCACTTCCAACTCTACAGTTCTCAGCAACAACAACCACTAGTTGATGACTGGGTATTGGCTTTGCTGCCGCAAACCAGAAGTAGTTGAATTGATTCTGAGCATGGTGACCCTCGTGTGTCAGATTGAACTGGGCCCCATGTAGTTTTAGAAGGAAGACCCAAAAGGAGGTGAACTGACAGAGTGAGTGAGATAAACTGACGCAGTGAGTGCAACAATGGGCGGAAGGTCATTCTTTGCATCACTCAGAAGCTCCAGTTCCCAAATAGAGAGGGGAAACCTCAAGGAAGCAGCTTGTCTCCTCGGCACCCTGAATGCCTGTATTCTGTATCCAGCCATCGTTCTACTCATAGGTTAAAAGAGAGAAATATATAAATGTAAATAAAAATATATAATTATGTGCAGTGACCATTCCTCATTCATTCGTAAAAGAAATCTCATTCTACTCCAAAGGTTAAAAGAAAGAAATATATAAATGTAAATAAAAATATATAGTGATGTGCAGTGGTGACTGTTCCTCATTCATTCGTAAAAGAAATCTCATTCTACTCCAAAGGTTAAAAGAGAGAAATACATAAATGTAAATGAAAATGTATAGTGATGTGTAGTGGTGACCATTCCTCGTTCATTCGTAAAAGAAATTCCATTCTACTCCAAAGGTTAAAAGAGAGAAATATATAAATGTAAATAAAAATTTAAAGCGATGTGCAGTGACCGTTCCTCATTCATTCGTAAAAGAAATTTTTCTTGAATGCTTGCTGTGTGTTAAGGATCTCTGAGGGTATAGTGAAAGGTCTGGGCTTTGAAATCATAAGCCACTTTGAGGGAGAAAAATAGAAGTTCTCTCTTCTCCAGGAAAGATTTCCAGTCTCAGAAACCTGAAGAGGGCTTGCCATGAATCAGAACTGACTTGATGGCTGTGGGTTTGACTTTCTAAGTTATGTATGTTAGAAGGTGTTAGAGGTGCCAGCAATATGTTATTGTTGTTAAGGCCTCCTCATCAGGACCCTGTGTACAATAAACCAAACCCCCACCAGTCCAGAGCCATTGTTTTAAGTCCATTGTTGGAGTCACCATGTCAACCCAACTTGTGAAGGGTCTTATTCTCTTTCTCTGACCCGCTATATTGTGTCCTTCTCCAGGGACTGGCCCCTCCTGGTAACATGCTCAAAATGTGTGAGAAAAAGTCTCAGTTCTTGCTTCTAACAAGCTCGCTGGTTACACTTCTTCCAAAACAGATGTGCTTGTTCTTTCCAGTAACGGTCTTGTTCCTTCACACTTTCAAGAAGTCCTTATTTGGCCAGTGCAATAAGCCTTTTGATTTCTTAACTGCTGCAGTGAAATGATAGTGAATCAAGTGAAATGAAACCCTTGACAACGGCAGTCTTTTCTCCATTTATCATGATGTTGTTCATTGGTCCAGTTGTGAGGATTTTTGTTTTCTTTGAGTTGAGGCATAATTCATACTGAAGACGATAGTCTTCCATCTTCATCAATAGCCAGGAATTTAGCCATTATAAAAAAAGACAAAAATCCCTGTCCTCATGAAGCTTACACTCTAATGGGGCTGACTGACAGTAAAGAAACACGCTCTGTTGCTAGTGTTTATAAATAAGGCTGTATTGTGAACCTCACAGATGATGTGAGACAGCTCTGACCCCACACCGAGTACTGGGGGAGCTTAAATTAGTTGGTCACAAGTAATTAATGGGACAAGAGTGTTACTTACCTATCTTAAAACATCACTGAATTGGTGAAAATAAACACATAAATGCAGCCATTGAATGAGGTGCCCTGTCTACACCCCTGCTCATCCACACCTCACAGCAATGCCAAGAGATGACATCTGCTGTCTCCAGCATTTTTAAGACTGAGTCAAGCTGGCTTCTTATCCACTAGGCGCACAGTTCACAGATAGTGCTTCTAACTACAGGCTTGGGCACAGCAGACCATGAGGCTGGCACAGTGATCCTGAGGATAACAAGAGTTCTATCAGGACTGACTCAACAGCACCTAACACCATTCTAAATACTTCCTGTAAGGGGAATCATACGAGATTTGTTCTGTGCTTCATTTCTTTCACTCAGCTCAATGTTTTACAGATATATTTTAAGGTTATTTATACAATGGAAGACTGATATTTGAGGACAAGATACTTTTAAAAATTAGAGGTTATGTTTATAGAAGCAATAACTTCTGATTTTATTTCTGTATAAACAACTTTTTATAGTTAAATTCTTTTCATTTTCTAGTATTTAGGAAAACTAGAGCTATTGTGATTCCTTTGAGCTTGCAAGGCAGGTTGTTGACACTTGAAACACCAAGCCAGTCTGAACTCACTCCGAGGTCCTTGTAGCACCTGATTCAGAGCTTGTGTTGACGAAGCCCTTGTTTATCCTCAAGCAGCTTATCCAGCACAGAAGACCCTGGCTCTTGGCCAGCTCAGTAAGCCGTCTCCAGGTTCAAATCTCTCACGTCCTCTGTCTTTGACCCCTAACCAAATACCCACCGCCACTGAGTTGATGCTGACTCATAGTGACATAGAGCAGAGTGTCTGATACAGGCCACAGTCTTCACAATCACTTGTTATGCAACAGAGAGTTGGACAATGACTAGGGAGGATAGAAGGAGAATTGAT